AATGTTTGCTTTCTTAATTATGTTTACCTCGTAGCAACATGTTTATTTGCATCTAAAGAAATGAGTTGAAAAAAGTATGCCTTTTGAAGTATTTCTGTCTTCTATCTGTAAATTTATCACAATGAAAGTGAAGGAGTGCCTTAAACTCAGCAGGCTTGCCTTTTTACAGCAAACTGACTTTTCGTTTATAAGACGTTAAAAGCATATAATTCTTATGTTTTCTTCTCTGCATTTCACCTCTACTCTAGCTTTATGTATTATTCTAATTTATACGTTAAACTTGCCATTTTATACTATGATTATTGCTTTGTAATGTTCCTAATTAGTAAGTAATTTTGGATAAAAGTATGTGCTAAATTAATAAATGTGGGGGAGGTAAATTGTCATGGTTTTTCCAGTAACACTATTAACACTGTTGGCTGTGATTCTGCTCTTCTTATAAACCTTAAGCTCTTCTCTGAAATGTTGAAAAATGTTTCTTGGAGTGATGCTGCATTTTCACGTAGAGACACACTCCTAGATCTGGTTGTGACAGGTGTTGAAAACAATATGCTTTTTATTTTATTCCTGAATGAATCATGTTTTCAGTCAAAACCACATGACTAATTTATATTTAATGAATAAAACTTAAAAACCTGAATATCCAAGATTTTTTCTTAACCCAGGATAAGAAATGAACAGTGAAAGTGAAACATGTTAACCTGAGTTTAGAATGACCCAGGGTTAATGGTTTAGCAGCTCAGTATTTGAACGAGCTCTTATTGCATTATAGTCCTCCACGTCCGCTGTGTTCTCAAAACTAGAATATCAAAATCAACTGCGGGCAGCAGATCCTTCTCCTATTTAGCGCCCAAAATCTTGAACAATCTACCTAACATTGTTCGGGAGGCAGACACACTCTGTCAGTTTAAATCTAGATTAAAGACCCATCTCTTTAACCTGGCTTACACATAACACACTAACACATTTCTAACATTCAAATCCGTTAAAGGATTGTTAGGCTGCATTAATTAGGACAACCGGAACCGGGAACACTTCCCATAACACACAATGCACTTGTTACATCATAAGAAGAATGGCATCTACGCTAATATTAGTCTGTTTTTTTTTCTTATTCCGATGTCACCGTAGCCACCAGATCCAGTCTGTATCCAGATCAGATGGTCACTGCAGTCTGGAGTTTGTTTTTTAAGCGTGCAGAACAACCACCCAATAAAGTATTACAATAATCTAACCTTGAGGTCATGAACGCATGAATTAACATTTCTGCATTTGACATTGAGAGCATAGGTCGTAATTTAGATATATTTTTGAGATGGAAAAATGCAGTTTTACAAATGCTAGAAATGTGGCTTTCAAAGGAAAGATTGCTATTAAATAGCACACCTAGATTCCTAACTGATGACGAAGAATTTACAGAGCAGCCATCAAGTATTAGACAGTGTTCTAGGTCATTACGTGTGGAGGTTTTTTCAGAATTTAGCAGTAAGAAATTACTAGTTATCCTGTTTTTTTATATCAACTATGCATTCCGTTAGTTTTGCAAATTGGTATGTTTCATCGGGTCGCGAAGAAATATAGAGCTGAGTGTCATCAACATAACAGTGAGCTAACACCATGTCTCCTGATGATATCTCCCAAGGGTAGCATGTAAAGCGTGAAAAGTAAGGGTCCTAGTACTGAGCCTTGGGGTACTCCTTACTGCACTTGTGATTGCATCATTTGGCCCATACATGTTTCGGACCCTTATGATTTGTGTTGCCATTTCTAGTCAGTGCTGATGTGTGAAGATGGTGAAGGTCCTGTTTGAACCATCTCATCCTCATAAACACTAGTGATTGTGCAAACCAAACATAAGGTGACAGGGTCTATTGTTAAGTCCAGCACATATTTGATTCAGTGCCCAGATAAAAACATGTCTCCAGACTGGTTTGTCCACCTGAATCTGAAACCATGGTACAGTGATGATGCTGATACAATGGTAATATAGTATACGCCACAATACTGAATGGTAACCATGTTCATCTATCATAGCAACTACAGTGATACAAATCACATCAAAGATTATCATGGTAATATCATTGAACTTTATAGGGCTTTTAATACATTAACCCTTCAGGGCTTTATAAGTAATAAGCAAGATTTTAAAATCTATACAATGTTTAATAGGGAGCCAGTGCAGTGTTGACAGAACCGGGCTAATGTGGTTATACTTCCTGGTTCTAGTAAGAACTTTAGCTGCTGCATTTTGGACCAGCTGGAGTTTGTTTATTAAGCGTGCAGAACAACCACCCAATAAAGCATTACAATAATCTAACCTTGAGGTCATGAACACATTAATTAACATTTCTGCATTTGACATTGAGAGCATAGGTCGTAATTTAGATATATTTTTGAGATGGAAAAATGCAGTTTTACAAATGCTAGAAACGTGGCTTTCTAACGAAAGATTGCAATCAAATATCACACCTAGGTTCCTAACTGATGACGAGGAATTGACAGAGCAGCCATCAAGTGTTAGTGGGTGTGTCTCAATCAGCTCCCTTGTTCAATAGTCACGGCATTGATCAGGGAGTTGGCCATTTTAAAGGGTTAGTTCACCCAAAAATGAAAATTACCCTGTGTTTTACTCACCTTCGAGACTTCCTAGGTGTATATGACTTTCTTCTTTCAGACGAATCCAATCGGAGTTATATTAAAAATTGTCCTGGCTTTTCTAAGCTCTATTATTGTAGTGGGCGGGTGTTTCTGTTCAACAGTCCAAGAGACGTTAAATAAAGCACGCACATCCGTAATAAAACATGTCTCACACGGCTCCGGGGGGTGAATAAAGGCCTCCTGTAGCGAATCCATGTGTTTTGTAAGAAAAATAACCATATTCCAAGCATAATAAACACTTTTCTCTCACTTCTGCTGACTGTCGTATGCGGAAGGTGTTTTGGGCGGATGACGCAGGACATCCTCTGAGATATGCTCACAAGTTTGTTTATAGGAGCAAAGGAAGCAAAGTTTCCTTACTTTAGCAAAGGAAAAGCAGTCTCCTCTTGGCTTATATCGAAATCCTCTGACATTTTTCTTTACGTTTTGTGCCTTTAATTCGTGACCGGTGTTTTGTTTTGTTCTCTCTCCGCATTCGTCACTAATCACGCAACGCATATGTCCTACATCATCCGCCAGAAAGCCTTCCTCGTACCACAATTAGATGAAGTAAGAGAGAAGTGTTTATTACGTTTGAAATATGGATATTTTTCTTACAAAACACATGGATTCGCTACAGGAGGTCTTTATTTACCCCCCGGAGCATTGTGAGTGACGTTTTATTACGGATGCGCATGCTTTATTGAACGTGTTTTGGACTGTGGAACAGAAACACCTGCTGACTGCAATGATAGAGCTTAGAAGAGCCAGGACAATTTTTTAAATAACTCCGATTGGATTCGAGTAAAACACAGGCTAATTTTCGTTTTTGGGTGAACTAACCCTTTAAGGGCTGTCTCAATCGTGAAATCCTTCCAGTGCCCTGGAACCTTCACTCCCTGAAAAATCCCACAATAAGCGCAAAACATAAACCACACGAGCCAATTTGATAAATATAATGAGATGTGATAGAAGATTTGAAAAGACAAACAGTTTTCTAGACAGGTAATGCACACATTTAATTAACATTTATAATTAATATTCGGCTGAAATGTTGTAAGAACATGTAACAGAACAATGTCTTTAAAAAGAATAAAAAAATAATATCAAAATGAGGTCCTGCCTGTTGTTTATTAATTCTAGCGATAACGTTGTACTATGTTGTCTGTAATCATGTCTCTGGAATTCGAGGAATTCGTGTACACGATCTACTGATTCACGAGCTCGGGAGCTAGGGAGCTGATTGAGACGCACCGGTTGTTACTTGCCAAGAATTTTGGTCCAATAATTAAAACCTCTGTTTGTTTGTTTGTTTCAGAATTTAGCAGTAGGAAATTACTAGTCATCCAGTTTTTTATATCAACTGTGCATTCCGTTAAACTCATATTCTTCTTAAACTAGATGACACAACTTAAAATAAAGAATGTCCTCTGTAACATTTCATTCTTTCAGTATGGAAGCATAAGGGTAGCAAAATTCTTCAGGTCTTCAGGCAGGGGAAAAGCGTTTGGTTAATAGTCAATATTGACCTATTGTGCATCTTGAAATTCATTTTCAATTCCACATTGACTTAAACTGTATTCATCGCAGCTATTTAATGAAAATACAATTAAAACGTCTTAAGTGAAAGTGTCAATGCATTTAAGCAAAATAAAAGACATTTAAGTCACCCTTTTGCTGCACCTTTGGCTCAGGATGCATTCTGAAATTTACACTACATTAAATTATGATGAAAATGCAATCTCAAGTGTCCTACCCCTAAGTCTAAAAAACAGCATTTAAATGATCATTTTGCTACAGTTTTTGCTTGAACATGTTAAACATGGCTAATCAATACATTTTCATTTAACATTGCAACTTATAAAGCGTTAACATATGTTTTTAATTTACATATTAAAACTAGTGTAGGTAATGGCAAGTGTAAATTATATAATTTAATGCTTGTCGCACATATGGGAAAATGTCAATTTAAATACAGAAATACATCGCCACTTTACATATTGCATTGCCACCCATATGCTTCCATATGTTACAGCTGTATTTTTATTTTATTTGCCTGTCCTTCTCTTGAATTAGCTCTTGAAATCATATGTCATTGGTTTAATTGGAAATTTAACTGAAATAACGTTTAAAATGTAGCTCACATCTTCCCACTTCATTAAGTTACATTCAAGCATTTCTTTTTTACTATAGCTTTTAATTGTTTTACTTCCCTGTAAATGTTTGTTAAATGTCCAGCACATTATTTTTAATCAAAGCATCTTCATCACTACTCAGATCCTTTAAGTGTAGTCACTGCACATGCAAACTGACTGTAAAACAACTGTTGGATCAGGAATGAAGAGACAGGGAGTCCGGGGTGAGGGTGAGGAGTGGTTTTTAATGAGATTGCTTTCTAGTCATCAGATGAGAAGTGGAGAAGAACATTTTTTTCAGTGAGTACAATGGAAATGAAGAAGGAACATATATTGATATGTTCCCTCCGTCGGACTATATCCCATTGATTAAATAGACTGAAAAATGATGGGTGATTAGGCTATTGTGAAAACCAGATAAAAAACTACGAAAAGGGATAAAAAAAGGAAAAAACAACCAAGCAGAGTGTATACTTTGCTTTGCCTTTTAAAATATAAAGCAAAACAAATGCAGCAACATACGGCAGCAAAAACAGCAACCGCAGCTTTATGCACCTGTAAGAATAAACAGAAAGCATTTGTATTAATTCATGGTGTGAAAAGTCGTTGCCTTTGTGTCCTTAATCCTAATGTTTTAGTCGTTTAGTTATAACTTGTTGTATTTGTGAATTATTATAATATATTATGTGATATTAATATGAAAGGCAGACACACCTAATATCTAAATAACTGAAATACTTTTGATATAATATAGTGTTTAATATAGTCAAATTATGAGTACAGTATAATTCTGATATAAAAGGTCATGATGAATAACTGTACCTGCTGGGATTGTTGTACTCCGTTTCTCAACCCCGTAACGAAGTGCTCGCAGTTGTGTGTCAACAGTTTGTATGGAACTACCTTCCCCACAAGACGTTCTGCTTTCTGTAGTATATGTGGAATGGGAAGTGGCGGATGTTGCTTATCTAGGACATTGTGGATCCGGTAGTCATCACTGCCAACTACATCCAGCAGTTTTTCTTTCTTCACTATGGCCTTGTTGTGCCGTACTGACTTCACACTGCTGACCCCGGCATCAGCATGCTCAGCTACAGAGAAAGACATGGACAAGTAAAACAATCAGGACTCATGAGACTTCAATGGAATGTTTCAGATTCAATACAAGTTCAGCTCAATAGGCAGCATGCATATAAAAAGCATTATATATATATATATATAACTCACATGGTGGGGCCTTGTGAATGACCTTGCCATCTCCAAAATACATCACCCAGTGCCGATAGAAGATTCTGAAGATTTCAATGAGGTCACCAGGCTTGAGCTTCATAATATATAGGGGACAATATCAAGCTTAATATTAAGTTACTGCGCCATTTAAATCTGTCAGATATATAATTTACTGTTTATCTAAAATAACACAATACCATTTGCACTTATGAATAGATAAAAACAAGAAGAAAGTAAAACTGTTCATTTTGCCTAAAAATAGCTACTGTACACAAAGAAATATATAGTACCTGTACTTGTTTCAAAGCGGGTTATAGCTATAGCTAAGCTATTTTTGTTGCCTTGAGAACAACTTGTGTAGTTTTTTGTAACTCTTTCAAACATTCTCTCTGTTATCATAATTAAATTGTTTTCTGAAAAAACCCTTGATGTGCAATAAGCTAATTTTAAAATTAAGCCTTTTTTATTTTTTTGCTTAAAACAAGTACACATATGTGCCAATGGGGTAAGAGAAATAAAGTTAATTTAAAGGTGAAACAAGATGATTTTTCTGACCTCCCTGGCAGATATTTGTTCTTGTTTTATACATAAATTCATTTTGATACATTTATCAGAAAGCAAGACATAATAGTCATGGCATTTTTGTTTATGTAGTACAAGTATCTTGATTTAAGGATGTTTGGATACTTAAAACAAGACCAAAATACGGAGTGTAAGAAAATCATAAGCATGCTGTTTAAACATCACTGTAATCCAAACTAACTCAATCAGAGCCTTAAAACACATCATATTTTACTCAGTTCCTGGAGCACGAGGCACCAAGACACTGCTTTCTCTTTGACTTTGAAGCTCTGTATGCTGCCCTACAGTTACTGTCAGATGAACTCCTGCCCCACAGCCTTTTTTGACAAGATAAGAGCATAGCAATTACAAAAAAGCATAGAAAAGCTGATAAATGTTTGCTCATGTGTAGTCTGACTATAGGCCAATCCTATAAAGTCCTCATGGAATCAAAGTCAGTCAGCCTGTTCTTCTTCTAAATGCAAACCCATCACATGACGTTTCCACAGCTAACAAAAATATTCTATTTGTCGTATTCTTTGCATTAGAGAATTACATTTTTTTTCTAAATTCCAAATGTGCAAATAATTTTGAAAAAAATATACATTTTGCGTAAAAAACTTCTGTAACTTTTTTAAGCTCTTAGGTCTGTATTCCAAAGTGTTCATGAATTAGCATTTACGTTCAGATCTGTGCTTTAAAAGACAGTATATGCTCTACGTGACAGTTAATAGGTTAAAAGTTAATATAATCCTAAACAAATTAAAGTCAGAATAACTCACCTGGGCTGAAATGCCTGGGGCAACAGCCGAGGGTTCTTTAAAATGTTCTGATTCCTTAAAGTTATTAGTTGTAATAACTTTGTTACACAGTGTTGAGCGTCGGTTTTTTTCTATTTTAATATTTTGCATTTTTTTTGTGTGTTTTTTTTTTGCTTTAGAGAAGGTGAGTTTGCTCTTTTATAGTGTGATAGCGCACGCCCTTTAAGAGTGTGGAATGTTCCAGAACAGTTCCATCAGTGCTGACAAATGAAACAATGCTGTTCATCTTGTTTTACACGTGTCGGATGCAAAACATCACCACGGACGAGAAAGACCTTCTTTAGCTGACAGTCACGATGCTGCAAAGCAGTGTTTCTACAATTATTTTCTACTTGTTATTCTGAAAATACAATAAATTGCAATATGGTAATTAAAAGGGCCGGCCTTAAGGTAGTCAATGATGTGCTGTTTTTAAGTCAATTGACATTTGAATGTTCCTCAAAAACTGTTTTTCCCGCTGTCACCCTCACATGGAGGACACCTGTTGAAGTGCTCCAGTTAACCTCATTTCTGAACAGCTCTTCTCAAGGGGGATTTTTTTTTTTTGCATCATCTTTGGTTAGTGAATTACATTTTTAATCACAAATCAACATTGTCTAACATAGTTTTACTGTAAATTGAGAACATATCAATGTAGCCATATGGCAACACTGTACCACAGTGGAACTGAAGTTATGTATTTCCCCATTGGGATTTTTTTATAGATAGTAACATCAATCATATGATTGCAGTTATTTATTTATTTGAAGTGTTTATTATAGTATAGTTGTATTGATGCATGAATAAGAAAATTACTTATTCTTTTCAGAAAATGAATACAGCAATATTTGACGGGAAGGGCAAAAAGAAGAGTGCAGAGCGATGACAATGAGGATGATTTGGCCTTCAGTGACTGTAACAATGTGAGTGTGTGTGTGTGTGTGTGTGTATATGTGTTTGTGTCTGTATGTGTTTGTGTGTTTGCATGTGTGTCTGTGTGTGTGTGTGTGTGTGTGTGTGTGTGTGTGTGTGTGTGTGTGTGTGTGTG